CAAATAAATAAAATCTTTTAAAAAAAAAAAAGAAAACAATGGATCGTGGATCACTACATCAAAAACTAATGATGTATTGTATGGTGACTAACATAACATAATAAAATTAAAAACTACAAAAAAAAACACAACTAATTATGTGTTGTATGGTGACTAACATAACATAATAAAATAAAATAAAATTTTTAAAAAGGCCATTACTTTCAGGAAGAGACACAACTGGCTTTTGTAACATAGAGAAGCAGGCAGAGACTTAGACACAATTGGAAGGCACAGGAATTTATCCCAAATGAAAGAACAAGATAAAGCCATAGCCAGAGATCTAAGTGAAACAGATATAAGAAACATGCCTGAGGGAAAATTTAAAGCAATGATCATAAGGATACTTACTGAGCTTGAGAAAAGAATAAAAGACATCAGTGAGATCCCTACAGCAGAGATAAAAGAGTTAAAAAAAGAAACAATCAGAGATGAAGAATACAATAAATGAAATTAGAAACATGCTTGATGCAATGAACAGCAGGCTGGAAGAAGCAGAGGAATAATTAATGACCTAGACAACAAAATAATGGAAAGCAATGAAGCTGAAGAGAGAAAGAAGAATTATGCAACATGAGAATAGACTTAGGGAACTCAGGGACTGAGTTATTAAGTGTAATAACATCCATATTATAGGAGTCCCAGAAGAAGAGGGAGAAAAGGGGACAGAAAATTTATTTGAAGAGAAAATAGCTGAGAGAGTTTCCAGGACAAACAAAAACTAAAGGAATTTGTGAACATTAAACCAGCCCTGCAAGAATCCCTTGAGTGAACAGAGAGTCCAAAAGTAACAAAAACCAGAAAGGAACAGAGACAATCTACAGGAACAGCAACTTTACAGGTAATACAATGGCACTAACTTCAGATCTTTCAATACTTACTCTGAATGCAAATGGACTAAATTCTCCAATTAAAAGACACAGGGTATCAGGAAAGATAAAAACACAAGACCTATCAATATGCTGCTTACAAGACACTCATTTTAGACCCAAAGACACCTCCAGATTGAAAGTGAGGGAGTGGAGGGGTGCCTGGGTGGCTCAGTCGGATAAGTGTCTGACTTCAACCCAGGTCATGATCCCAGGGTCCTGGGATGGAGCCCCAGTTAGGCTCCCTGCTTGGCGGGAACCTGCTTCTCCCTCTCCTCTCCGCTTGTGCTCTCTCTTGCTATCTCTGTCACTATCTGTCACTATCTGTCTCCCTCTCAAATAAATAAATAAAATCTTTAAAAAAAAAAGTGAGGGAGTGGGGAACAATTCATCATGTCAATGGACATCCAAAGAAAGCTGAAGTAGCCATCCTTGTATCAGACAAACTAGATTTTAAACCAAAGACTGTAATAAGAGATGAAGAAGGACATTCTATCATAATAAAAGGGCCTATCCAACAAGAAGATCTAGCAATTGTAAATATTTATGCCCCCAACATGGGAGCAGTCAATTATATAAACCAATTAATAACAAAATTAAAGAAACACATTGATAATAATACATTAATGGTAGGGGACTTTAACACCTCACTCACAGCAATGGACAGATCATCTACGCAAAAGATCAGCAAGGAAACAAGGGCTCTGAATGACACACTGGACCAGATGGACTTCACAGTTATATTCAGAGGATTTCTTTTTTTCTTTTTAAGATTTTATTGATTTATTTGACAGAGAGAGACACAGCGAAAGAGGGAACACAAGCAGGGGGAGTGGGAGAGGGAGAAGGAGAAGCAGGCTTCCCGCCAAACAGGGAGCCTGATGCGGGGCTCGATCCCAGGACCCTGCGATCATGACCTGAGCCGAAGGCAGACGTTTGACTGAGCCACCCAGGCGCCCCTATTCAGAGGATTTCATCCCAAAGCAGCAGAATGCACTTTCTTCTCGAGTGCACATGGAACATTCTCCAGAAGAGATCACATACTGAATCACAAATCAGGTTTCAACCAATACCAAAAGATTGAGATTATTCCATGCATATTTTCAGACCACAATGCTTTAAAACTTGAAGTCAACTACAAGGAAAGACCACAAATACATGGAGGTTAAAGAACATCCTACTAAAGAATGAGTGGGTCAACTAGGAAATTAAAGAATTAAAAAATACATGGAAACAAAAATGAAAAGACGACAGTTGTTCGGAACCTTTGGGATGCAGCAAAGATGGTCCTAAGAGGGAAGTATATAGCAACACAGGCCTTCCTCAAGAAACAAGAAAAGTATCAAATACACAACCAACCTTACATCTAAAGGAGCTGGAGAAAAAACAGCAAATAAAGCCTAAATCCAGCAGGAGAAGAGAATTAATAAAGATGAGAGCAGAAATTGGGCGCCTGGGTGGCTCAGATGGTTAAGCGTCTGCCTTCGGCTCAGGTCATGATCCCAGGGTCCTGGGATCGAGTCCCGCATCGGGCTCCCTGCTCCTTGGGAGCCTGCTTCTCCCTCTGCCTCTCTCTCTCTCTCTCTCTCTCTCTCATGAATAAATAAATAAAATCTTAAAAAAAAAAAAAAAAAGATGAGAGCAGAAATCAATGACATAGAAATAAAAAAAAAAGGGGGGGTGCCTGGGTGGCTCAGTCGTTAAGCATCTGCTTTCGGCTCAGGTCATGATCCCAGGGTCCTGGGATCAAGCCCTGCATTGGGCTCCCTGCTCAGCAGAGAGCCTCCTTCTCCCTCTCCCACTCCCCCTGCTTGTGTTCCCTCTCTTGCTGTCTCTCTCTCGGTCAAATAAATAAAATATTTTTTAAAAAAAGAAAAAAACCAGTAGAACAGATCAATGAAACTAGGAGCTGGTTCTCAGAATTAAGATCGATAAACCCCTAGCCAGACTTATCAAAAAGAAAAGAGAAAGGCCCCAAATTAATAAAATCATGAATGAAAGAGAAGAGATCACAACCAACCCCAAAGAAATACAAACAATTATAAGAACATATTATGAGCAACAATATGCCAACACATTAGGCAATCTGGATGAAATGGATACATTCCTAGAAACATATAAACTACCAAAACTGAACCGGGAAGAAATAGAAAACCTGAACAGATCCATAACCAGCATGGAAACTGACACAGTAATCAAAAATCTCCCCTAAAAACAAGAATCCAGAGCTGGATGGCTTCCCAGGGGAATTCTACCAAACATTTAAAGAACATGATGAGATGAGCACTGGGTGTTATACTGAACTGATGAATCATTGAACATTATATCAAAAAAACAATACTTTGGCTAATTGAATTTAAATTAAAAAATAAAATAAATAAAGAAGAACTAATACCTATTTTTCTGAAGTTGGTTCCAAAAATAGAAATGGAAGGAAAACTTCCAAACTCATTCTTTGAGGCCAGCATTACACTTATCCCCAAACCAGACAAACCGGACAAAGACCCCATCAAAAAGGAGAATTCAGACCCATGTCCCAGATGAACATGGATGCAAAAATTCTCACCAAGATACTAGGTAATAGGATCCAACAGTACATTCAAAGGATTATTTGCCAGGACCAAGTGGGATTTATTCCTCGGCTGCAAGGTTTGTAACAATATCCATAAATCAGTCAATGTGATATACCACATTAATAAAAGAAAGGACAAGAACCATATGATTCTCTCAGATGCAGAAAAAGCATTTGACAAAATACAACATCCCTTCTTGTTAAAAACTTTCCACCATGTAGGGATAGAGAGAACATACCTCAAGATCATAAAAGACATACAAAAACCCACAGAAAGTATCATCCTCAATGGAGAAAAACTGAGAGCTTTTCCCCCTAAGCTCATGAACAGGACAGGGACAGAACATTCTCACCACTGTTTTTCTACATAGTACTAGAAGTCCTAGCCTAAGCAATCTGGCAACAAAAAGAAATAAAAGGCATCCAAATAGGCAAAGAAGTCAAATTCTCACACTTCACAGATGACATGATACTCTATGTGGAAAACCCAAAAGACTCCACCAAAAAACTGCTAGAACTGATATGGGAATTCAGGATATAAAATCAATGCACAGAAATCAGCTGTATTTCTATACAGTAACAATGAGACAGAAGAAAGAGGAATCAAGGAATCGATCCTATTTACAATTGCACCAAAAACCGTAAGATACCTAGGAATAAACCTAACCAAAGAGGTTATTATATTAATATTCCATTATATTATTATTCCAAAATATAATGGAATATTACTGGACCATAAAAAAAGAATGAATTCTTGCCATTTGCAACAACATGGATGGAGCGAGGAGTATTTTGCTAAGCGGAAATGAGTCAGAGAAAGACAATACCATAGGATTGCACTCATTTATGGAATTTAAGAAACAAAACAAATGAGCTTAGGGGTAAAAAGAAAGGGAGGGGCCAACTAAGAAACAGATTCTTAACTACAGAGAACAAACTGCTTGTTACTAGAGGGGAGGTGGGTGGGGATGGGTGAAATAGGTGATGGGGACTAAGGAGTGCACTTGTGATGAGCACCAGGTGATGTATGGAAGTGCTGAATCACTATATTGTACGCCTGAAACTAATATTACACTGTATGTTAACTAACTGAAATTGAAATAAAAAACTTTAAAAAAAGAATTTAGGGGCAAGAAAAAAACCTTTCTAAAAAATAATTTAATTAAATCAATAAGTAAATAAACCTTTTTTAAAAAAGAATGTGTGATAAAGTACATACGTGTGTGTACATACAGGGTCCTGGGATCAAGCCCCGCATTGGGCTCCCTGCTCAGCAGAGAGCCTCCTCCCTCTCCCACTCCCCCTGAGCCCCACCCTAGACCAACTGAAACCAAATATCTGGTGGTGGAAACAGGCATTCATATTTCTTTTTAAACTTCTTAGGTGATTATAGTGTGTAGTCTAGATTGTTCAGAACAAGATCTTTTCTCTGGCAACTGTTCAAAGAAGACTTAAAAGTACAAGTCACTGTGAAAAACTGAATATATGAAAACGTACAATAATATACATGTTAGTCTTACCTCTTCAATATCTTGGTGAAGCCCACATTCATAATTAATACCTGAATCAGGGAGTTAAGGCAGCAGGTCTGTCCAATGTTGTGTAAACCAACTGGGCCTATACAGGGAAGAGAGAAAAAAAATACTGAGGACAAGGGCAAGCTAAGGGACTCAATAAAAATCAAATGTTTTTCTAAGATCTACTAAGGACATGAAATCCTGCAAAATACTCTCAGAGGTACAAAGACTTCACTAAAGAGCTTGCAAAAAATTGGGAGAGGAGAAATAAAGCATGCGACTCTGAAAAGCGAAATAGCAGTAAAAAAAATTTTTTTTTAAAGCAAGGCAGACTGCCACCTGCAGTGCCTCATTTGGACATGTCTGGAGTCTCAGAAGCTTGACTACCCTACATTCTCCTACAAATGGACCTGGAGAGCTTGTTTGGGGGTCCTAGCAGGGGAGCGCGGCTACTCGTATACCCTTGATGGAATAACCGTCCTCCCCTATCAGGGAAGGTCGTCCTCTTGGACCAAGCGCGCAGCTTCGGGCGGGGCGCCCGTGGAGTGGTGAGGGAGGAAGGGGACACCTGCCTAGCCAGCCAGATCAACCGCATCAACCCTGGCAATCAACGGGGTGACAGATGTCGCAGCCAGATTGCCCTCACATCCAGCAGTAAAACTTTTAATAGTTCATTAGGAAAAGAGCTGTCGCAAGAAAGAGTATTGTGCAATGTAAAATGAGTAGTACAAGCAATTGTTATAAGAGCAAAGACAAAGAAACATTACAGAAAGCATAACTGGGAGCATTCCTCCCACTTAAGTTGTTCCCTACAGAGTTGAGTCAGAATGGACATCCACGGAGCTCAGAGAGAAAAGTAATTTCCTAGATAGTCTATTTCAGACTCCAGTGGAAAGGCCCCTGCCCAGTCCCCACCATGTGGCTGAAGGAAATCAGGAGAAAAAAAAAAAAGGAAAAAAAAAGCTCTGGGGGAGATTCACTAATCTAAGCTCACCTCCAGAGGCTGGAGGCCAAAAATAACTTAAGAAGATGTGAGAAAGCCAAAAGACAGCATTTCTCTGATGTACTAGCAACCAATCTCTCCTTTCCCAACTTAACTCGGGCTCAGCTGACCCCACAAGGGGAGTACTTTAAGAGGGAGGAAATACCACTAATCTCAGAGTTCCTGGGTAAAAGACTTTTGTGTATATGAAACAGGGCATTAAGATGAAAAAAAATCCAGGGACAGCAAGTAATCACAGATTTCGGCTCCTGAATCAGCAGAAGCATCTTGCCTCTAGGACATCCTAGCACACAGGTGTAACAGTAAAGATAGAAACTAATGCTGGCTGCTGCTAGAAGCCAAGCATTAATTTGAAGCACTTTCCACAGATTATCTCACTTACCCCTCCCAACAACCCTATGTGTTCAGTACTATGATTATTCCCATTTTACAGATGCAGAAATGGAGGCATAAGAAATCAGGAGTCATTAACCACAAAGTTCTGCTGTTTCGGAGTACAGTGGGTGAGCAAAGCATTTCTATGCAGCAAAAAGAGAAAGATGTGAGGGATCTAATGACCATGAGGACAGTCCCAGGCACTGAGGCGCTCCTTTAGCTGCTCCTTCTTCTTCATGTTGTTCTCTTCCTTCTTCTCAATGGGTTCTGCTGAGAAATGCTGAGACAGCCAGGATGCACTGGAAAATTTCCTCAGGGACCCCAACACCTGACTCATTAGAGATCATTCCAAAATCCCTAGGCCACTGGCTGCCCAGCCTGTCTTCAGGACTGCACACTTCCAGGAAGAGCTCATATGAGCCAGCTTTGGTGGGAGTCCTGTGAAAACACACCACAGGTAGGTAAGGATAAGGGAAGAGGGAAAGCATATTCATGTGAGTTCTGATTCCAAAGAGACAAGTCTTATGTGGATGGAGCTAGAGTGTATTATGCTAAGTGAAATAAATCAGAGAAAGACAAATACCATATGATCTCACTTATATGTGGAATTTAAGAAACAAAACAGATGAACAGAGGGGAAGGGAAGGAAAAATAAAATAAGATAAAAACAGAGATGGAGGGGCGCCAGGGTGGCTCAGTCGGTTGGGCGTCTGCTTTTGGCTCAGGCCATGATCCCAGGGTCCTGGGATCTGACCCCATATCTGGCTCCCGGCTCGGTGGTGAGCCTGCTTCTTCCTCTTCCTCCACAGCTCCCCCTGATTGTTCTCTCTCTGTGTCAAATAAATAAATAAAATCTTTTAAAAAACAAAAACAAAAACAGAGAGGCAAACCATAAGAGACTCTTAACTATAGTAAACAAACAGGGTTGCTGGAGGGGAGGTGGGTGGGGAGATGGGGTAACTGGATAATGGACATTAAGGAGGGCACTTGATGTAATGAGCACTGAGTATTATATGCAACTGATGAATCACTACATTCTACCCTCAAACTAATAATATACTATATGTTAACTAAATAGAATTTAAATTAAAAATTAAGGAAGGAAGGAAGGAAAGGAGAGAGGGAGGGAGGGAGGGAGGGAGGGAAGGAGGGAGGACTTGTGATGAGCACCGGGTTATATGTAAGTGATAAATCACTGAATTCTATTCCAGAAACCAATACTGCACTGTATGTTTTTTTTAAAGAGAGAGAGTGAGAGAGAGCACAAGAGTGGGGTGAGGAATAGAGGGAGAAGCAGGCCCCCTGCTGAGCAGGGAGCCTGATGTGGGGCTCGATCCCAGGACTCTGGGATCATGACCTGAGCTGAAAGTAGACACTTAACCGCCTGAGCCACCCAGGTGCCCCTACTGCACTGTATGTTAACTAACAAAATTAAAAACAAAAACAAAAACAGACAAGTCTTAGTCTGAAAGAAATGTTTGGCTTATAAAGCTCTATGGCTAGAAATGACAACTAGGCTAGACACTCCTTACCTTTGTCCCACATGTTTCCATTTTTTTCTTCTTCAGAGCAGACTGCCATAAAACTCTTTCCCGCAGGTTCTCTACTCTGGCAAATAGCACAACAGGCACCAAGGGGGTCCAGACCAGAAACTTGGGTGTCTCCTTTCTCCTCACTCCCAGGCCCAAACAATCATCGAGGACTGTCAATTCTACCACCTAAAAACTGCTCACAAGCACTCTCCTTGCTATCCATACCCTTGACTTCCTGGGAAGCCTGTCCTGGCTCCTCAGGTGAGCCTACACGTTGTCTATGTGTCCATGCACCTTGTACTCAGAGCTAGTCAAATAACTGGTTTGCTATATTCTGTTGTGGGAAATAGCTCTCTCTCCACTTGTACAGGATAGTGATGCACCGCACACACTCTTCCTGCAGGACCAACACGATTTCTCAGGCTCAAGGGAGCACTGGTTGACAGCTCCCCACTGAGTCCCTGTCCAGTAATTTACCCTTGAAAAGAAATTTATCCCTATCCAATGACTGGACAATAGCGGGTATAAAAATCTTACCACCTTGCCTTAAGGTGAAATAGCTCTGAAGGGTCAGCAAGCCCCAGAACTCCCCTTAAAATCAGCCGAGGCCTCTGTTGCATCTATCTGGCAGCTCTTCCCTCTGCCTGTCCCTGTTTTGCTCACCTCTTGTTCCCAAGGGTACTCCCCACTAACCTCCTGCATACACATCTCAGAGTTTCAACATCTGACCTGAGACCCTAAACTGTGAGCATCTGGAAGGCAGGGAGTTTGTTTCTTCAACTGCTTCCATTACACTTTGCACAGAGCATTTGTGGGCATTCAATAAATAAACATTGAATGAATGAATGAACACACGAAAGAATAAGGACTTAATGCTTTCAAATACATAAAAGGCTATCATGTGGAAGAGACATAATTAGATTTACTTAGATTTCTTGTGTTTGGGGCATGAGGGTAGGGGAGGTCAAACTACCTAATGTGTGAAAACTACTAAGAAATAGATTTCATTTCAAAATAAAGAACTTTCTCACAGCCAGCAAGCCAACTACAGCAGCAGTAATTTGTCTGTAAGCAGAAGCTGGGCTAGCCCTTGAAAGAGAGAGTATAGAAAGGAATTGAATGGTGGTTGGAGGGTGAGACCTCTTGTTTACATTCTAAAGATGAAGCCTGTGATTCCTTCTAGATATTCATTTTAATCAAGTGGAAGCATTCAAATGTGTCCCACTGAATTATGTATTCTGGAGAATTACCGTGGCAGCTGGAAAGAGAAATCACTGCTGTTCCTAGAGAAAACAGTCCCCTTGTACATACACAAATACCCACCAAGCAAAGAAATATATGTATTTTTTAAAGATTTTTATTATAATTTTTAAGGTTGTTATTTTTCAAATAATGCTAGCTTATGGAGAATATTTGTAAAATGCAGAAATGTAAAATGAAGAAAATATTAATCACTCATTGTCCCAGGACCTAAGGATAACCACTACTTGGTATGTATCAATCTTTTTTCCTATATATATATATGTATATATATATACTTTTTTTTGAGAGAGAGAGCAGGGGAATAATAGTGGGAGATGGAGAGAGAACCCCAAGCAGGCTCCACAGTCAGCACAGAGTTCCACTTGGGGCTCGATCCCACGATCCTGAGATCATGACCTGAGCTGAAATCAAGAAGTGGATGCTTAACCAACTGAGCCTCCCAGGTGTACTTTTTCCTAAATATTTTTGACATGGCTGATATTTTACTGTTTTTCTTATTTCACATTATAACAAATTTTCCCAAGCTCTTTATAAATACCTTTTGATGACTGATGTAGCAATAAAAATTTGTGGACTATTCTGGTTATTTTTCAATTTTTTACAGTTGTAACAAATACACTATAGTGAACATTTTTAGGCATAAAACTTTTCTCTACCTATCTGATGTCCCTCATGCAAACTAAAGGTCCATGGACACAACAAAACTTAGCTATAAATGAGGTCATATTAACCACATAAAACAAAATCCCCCTACTCTTTTACTTTCTCCTGACAACACAGACTTCAGCCAACCGTAAATGCTCCAAAGCATATTTTGGAATCTCAGGAGGAGTCTCTCATGTGTTTTGGAACAAGGTGACAACAACTGCACCCTACCACCACTCCAGAATATCCACTGAGTACCTGCAAGGCAATGCAAGGTAAAACAATCAATGAATTAAGGTTCCCTCCTATTTCCAAGTAGGGCCTTGATGTGGAAGTGGGATACATGCCCAGCTCCTCCCACTGCCTTGTGCCCTTAGATTTCACTGAATTCCTTCTGAAAGGGCTTCAACTTCTGCCTGCAGCTGCTCTCTGTCCAGGGTTCTCAGTCCTGTGCCCAGGTCTAAGCTGGGAAGCATAAATTATATTGTCTTCTCTATGTCTCCCTTCTCTCCACTCAGGGGCATATATGAAAGATTTCCTCAGTTGTTCCCCTGTCTCCATGCCAATAAATCTGCAGCCCTCTAGTTTATCTGACCATCAGAAAGAACCAGACGTTAAATCAAGCTTTAGGATAGATTCTTAGAAATGTAATTACAATGGATGATGGGCATTAAGAGGGCACGTGATATGATGAGCACTGGGTGTTATACACAACTGACAAATTATTGAACACTAACTCTGAAACTAATGATGTACTATATGTTGGCTAATTTAATTTTTTTAATTTTGTTTTGTTGTGTTAGTCACCATACATCATTTGTTTTTGATGTAGTGATCCACAATCCATTGTTTTCATATAACACCCAGTGCTCCATGCAGTACGTGCCCTCCTTAAAACCCATCACCAGGCTAACCCATCCCCCATCCACCTCCCCTCTAAAACCCTGTTTGTTTCTCAGAGTCCATAGTCTCTCATGGTTCATCTCTCCCTCTGATTTTCCCCCCTTCACTTTCCCCTTCCTTCTCCTAATGTCCTCCATGCTATTCCTTATGTTCCACAAATAAGTGAAACCATATGATAATTGACTATCTCTGCTTGACTTATTTCACTTAGCATAATCTTCTCTAGTCCCATCCATGTTGATGTAAAAGTTGGGTATTCATCCTTTCTGATGGCTGAGTAATATTCCATTGTATATATGGACCGCATCTTCTTTATCCATTCATCTGTTGAAGGGCATCTCAGCTCCTTCCAGTTTGGCTATCGTGGACATTGCTGCTATGAACACTGGGGTGCATATGGCCCTTCTTTTCACTACATCTGTGTCTTTAGGGTAAATACCCAGGAGCACAATTGTTGGGTCATAGGGTAGCTCTATTTTTAATTTTTTGAGGCACCTTCATACTGTTTTCCAAAGTGGCTATACCAACTTGCATTCCCACCAACAGTGTAAGAGGGTTCCCCTTTCTCCACGACCTCTCCAATATTTGTTTCTTGCCTTGTCAATTTTTGCCATTCTAACTGGTTTGTAAGGTGGTATCTCAATGTGGTTTTGATTTGGATTTCCCTGATGGCTAATAATGATGAACATTTTTTCATGTGTCTGTTAGCCATTTGTATGTCTTCTTCGGAGAAGTGTCTGTTCATATCTTCTGCCCATTATTTGACTTGATTATTTGTTTTTTGGGTGTTGAGTTTGAGAAATTCTTTATAGATCTTGGGTACTAGCCCTTTATCTATAGTGTCATTTGCAAATATCTTCTCCCATTCTGTGGGTTGCCTCTTTGTTTTGTTGACTGTTTCCTTTGCTGTGCAGAATGTTTTTATCTTGATGAAGTCCCAAAAGTTCATTTTTGCTTTTATTTCGCTAGCCTTTGGAGATGTATCTTGAAAGAAGTTGCTGTGGCCGATGTCAAAGAGGTTACTGCTCCTGTTCTCCTCTAGGATTTTGATGGATTCCTGTCTCACATGGAGGTCTTTCATCCATTTTGAGTTTATTTTGTGTATGGTGTTAGAGAATGGTTGGGTTTCATTCTTCTGCATGTGGCTGTCCAATTTTCCCAGCACCATTTATTGAAGAGATGCCTTTTTTCCATTGCATATTTTTTCTTGCTTTGTCGAAGATTATTTGACCATAGAGCTGAGGGTCCATATCTGGGCTCTCGATTCTGTTCCATTGGTCTATGTGTCTGTTTTTGTGCCAGTACCATGCTGTCTTGGTGATCACTGCTTTGTAATAGAGCTTGAAATTGGGCAATGTGATGCCCCCAGCTTTTTCTTTTTCAGCATCTCCTTGGTGATTCGGGGTCTTTTCTGATTCCATACAAATTTTAGGATTGTTTGTTCCAGCACTTTGAAAAATGTCATTGGAATTTTGATCAGGATGGCA